CGGAGCGCCTTTAATGCTGGCTGGCTGGGACGCGGCCGCGCTTCCTGTGTGGCTTTCAAATTTGGTGGGATTTTCCTCCCCCTTTCCTCTCCTCCCCCGCCCCCGCCAAAAAGAGCGAGTCGGAGCACGTCGCAGGTGTGCAAAGTAACTGTAAGAACAAACGAGAAATTAATGAGTAGTTTATACGGAGAAAATAACTGGCTCGCGGGAAAATAAGTTGAAGAGCTGCTTTAGCATAGCTACTTTTTAGAATGCTTCAAACCATATCCTTCAACTCTTACCTAGCAGAGATCTTTCCTCCACGCACCTGATGAATTAAGGCTTGACAAGGGCAGAACGGATTCTCTGTGGTGACCAAACAGTCAGAGGTACTTCCCGTACCTCCTCTGTTTTCCTAGGCGCTTACGTAGTTAATGTGCTTAAGATCACGCTCAAATGTTGCAGTTTCTAAAGTAACCAGTTTTAATATCGTGTATGATTATGTTAGGGCTCTACCAGAGAATCAGCCTCATGGGAGTCTTTCCTATTACAAGGTGTAACAGTGTGCAATAAGTAATTTCACATTGTCTTTTATGTCAGTTGCAAAGATTGTAATTTATGTGGAGTTTACGGTAAGGACAGGGAAGCCGCTTTACCACACAAACAAAGCAGTCGATATGCACAAAATCTACAGTATTAAGGGTTTCTATATTCTTTCGTGGTTCTGTCACTGAGTCACTGCACCGGACTGATCACTTTGTAGCACAACAGAAATGTATAAATTTGTACTAGCACCCTAAGATCCACTGATCTTCAAGATGTCAAGAGGAGGAATGTGGTTTTGTACAGATTAAACGGCAAATGTAGCTAGTGCAGCTACTGTTAGTAAAAGTACTGCAAAATTCTGTTTTAGTAATACTTTTTTGAGAGAAATGAGGTAGAGCATGTCTTGGAGAGACTTAGTATAACAGTATTTTTAATATGATGCTTTATAAGTGGATTACAATTCTAGCTGTATGTTATATTTGCTAACCTGATGATTAAACATTACTTGAAAGTATTTCATTGCATCAAAAGGTTATAAAAGAAGAGCACTGATTTGCAATTTTTTTCTTGATCTGGAAATTAGCTCTACGGAATTCTGATGCAGTTTTTTGGTTGCTTATCCAATGAGATGTTAATGAGATGTTAATAAAAATATATATTTACAATTTCTTGCAGAAGTTTTTATGCTAATGTAAATGATATAGTAAAAAGCTCATTTAATTTCTTTCAAAAAATTTCCTTCAAAAATTCCTTAGCATTGATTTCTCTTCCTGTGTTTACAGGATAAATTAAGTAGAATCATCTTCTCTTCACAGTGCTCAATAGCCACAGAGACCAGAAGCTCTTCTACAAATTACTTTCCTGATACTTAGAAGAGCTGTTCTTATGATGTTTATAACTTTCATATGGGTCAGCTACATGTCCCACAAAGGCCTTCAGTCATCATAAAAAGGTTTTGACTTTTTTTTTTTTTTTTTGGCTTCTTGTTTAACATCTGTGTTGGCATTGAGTGACATTCATAGTGGGAACAATTTAAAAAATATGGAGTTTTCCTTGTAGGGAATTTTTTTTAGGGAAAAATACTATAATTCATATAATGCAGAACTAATTTGTCCACATTTATGAAATGTCTGTCAAATACAGAATCAATTTGTTTCTAATGCAGCTTCTAGCTGTGTCACCGTCCACTGAAGTCTAATTTCCTTCTGCCTTTTCTCCATTTTAAACTGGCAGTTGGTAAACACTTCTCCTCCCACAGCTGATCTGCAGTTCTGACCCTAAAATCGGTTTACACAGGAGGATCCAGGGAGTATTACGTCTTTGTTTTCCCTCTGGAGATAGCAGCGGTTCAAAGTTCACTAACACTACAGAACAAAGAGGAATTTCATCTTTGTTTTTAAAATTTTAAAAGCAGTTGAGCCCTTCTTCAGTGCCTGGTGAGGAAAGAGGCTTTTGAAGGCTTGCAGCATATGTCAGATTGTTATTTTTTCAAAGTGCAAACATCTGTCTAAACTCCCATGGTAAGCATTTAACAGCAAGTAAATTAGCTTCTAAAACAGCACGACTTTTATCTGGAGGGAGAGCATTTATCCTAGTGAGTTACGAAGCAACAGTGTGGCCTCCAGGTGAGGGGACATTACTTGGCCCGTGATACTTGCTCTGAAGCACCGTGTGTTCCCGGCTGAGCCCCGCTGCTCCTTGCGGTGCTGAGTAATGCTCGGCAGCAGCGCGAGGCAACGGCAGTGTGCTGCGGGATGCAGAGCAGGGCACGCTCTCGAGTCGGGTGGTAGAATCCAATCCACCCACTCCTTGCCAAAGCAAAGGTAACTTTACCATAATTGTGTGTGTGTGTGTGTGTGTGTTTGTTTGCTACAAAAATACCATTGCTTTCTTTAGTCAAGTGATTCAATCTGACAAGGCAGGGGCACTATTTATAGCAAATGGTGTCAAGATGGAAAATCCGTATATATTCTTTCTAATGAAAGGCTAGAATCTCATTGTGATTCATATTAGGCTGTAGTGCAAATATTTTTCATTGTTTGAAATTCATTAATCTCTTCCGCTTTGTTTCAAGGTTCTTGCTGCACAGTAGCTCCAACTGTCACTCAGCTCTTTGGAAACAGCAATTAAAGGGTCCTGTACAGATGCCAGAGCTTTGCACAGGAATATGCTCTGAGTATTTCCTCTGAATATATGATTCAAAGTACAGGAATGTTGTCTTGAAACATGTTATCCTACATGTATCACAAGAGTAACAATACTCAATATCTGGAGTAACGATTCTCAAATATCAGCCTCCATTTTACTCCAGAGACACCCGTAGAAAGTAAGATACGCACGCTACGCGTAAATTAATCAGAATTGCATTTAGTTACCCAAAATACGTAACATGTACATTTTTTCACAGAATCTACACTACGGACCACGTTCCCAAACCCATGGACCTTTCTTATCAGATGAGTAATTCCATTAGTTAACAGTTGTCTGCTTTTAAGCGCTTGCAGGACCAGGGCCCCTGAGAAAGAAAATACTGGCTAAGAAGGGAAATGTGTTTGTGATGGGGCTTGCTACATGTAGTAAATGGTTCATGTTCCTAGGGTATGCACTTTGTTTTATCTGTATGCATTAACTGTGTTTTTGACCCTCCATGCCTTCTGTCCGGCTCTTTAAACAAATTGAAGCTGTTTATCCCCTTGTAATCATCAGGAATAATCCCGCCCTTTCTTTTGTTTTGCCTCCTTTCTCTCACTCAGCTGCTTTGTCTCTCTTCATTCCCCTATTTTCTGCCACCCTGTTGCTTATTCTCTTTTACAAGAAAGCTGTTTAACTTTCTAGGTAGGAGTCCCAGCTGTAGCAAGGGGTGAGCCTGTTGAACTAGGAGCTGTTTGATTAGCAGAGATGTAGGAGCCAGGCCAGATTCTTGCCTTTTAACACAGGCTTTTTGTTACTGTCTGACAGCACGAAATACAAAGTCCTCTCCCTGTGTGAAACAAGGAGTGGCAGAACAATCCTGTGTTGTTGTTTCCAGCCGTGTAGCAACGGCGGCTGCTCTGGAGCAGCCTGTAGTCTGGCATTTTCAGGGGAGTGCAGCTATGTGTCTGAGCAAACCTGGGTAACAGAAAGAGTTCAGCTAGGTAAAAGCTCGTGCTCGAGATTCTGCAGTACAGCTAGTAGGAATATCGGCCTTTTGGGGGAGTTCATGAATGTTCTTTAACGCTTTATTAAGGACAGGAAGATTATTTTGTAAAGTTGCATCCTGGGCGATGAAAGCAATCTCTGCTGTTCTTGCTGTAATTCACTAGGTCCAGTGTCAGCTGCAACACTGCGGTGCTGTGCGAGTTTTCAGGGACCTTAGATACAGAAATGTGACATTCCCTATCTCAGGAAAAAGGAGTATTAATCAGTGGAATTTTTCTGTCATGATTCAGGAACATGAGCTGGTATACTTTAAAGCTCTTGTATATACCTTTATACTATACTAGGTCAGCAAATAACCTCAGAAGCTGTTGACTTAGCAAAAAATCTTTTTTTTTTTTAAAGACGTGTTTTTAAAGTGAAGAACAACAGAAGTACAAAACCAAATATAAATTGATCTGCAGTTTAGGCTGCAAATTAGAACAACAGTGCACTGTCAAAATAGCAGGGTTTGGGGTGACTTTCAGTTGGATCTATAGTCTAGAAAACAAGAACTCAGCTGATTTTGAACTTGCAGAATTCTGTCCAAAAAATTTGATTCTGTTATGTGGTTGCCTTTTAACAAGAACTGCATGTGATAACAGAGGAAGTTCCTTTGAATTTTACTTCTTAAAGACAAAGTTATACTATTGTGTAATACACATCAGAATGCTAACTAAAATTTCACCTGTAGTTGTGTCATCAAAGTACTTTGCACTTTTACTTTGTGAAAATACACTCTTTGCAAGTGTTTCTAGCTTTCTGGAGAATATATGGCTGTCAAATCCATAAGCCTGGGAGCTGGCTGATCTCTTAAGATATATTCACTACATTGTATTTCACTACATTGAACTTTGGATCTTAGTTGGGAGTCACCACAGTATCCATCCATGTATGAAAAGCTCTCATTAAATTATGTTAATGATTATGTAGTAGAGAGGATAGCTTTAACTTCTGACTGCTTTTATTTGGCCTAGTAATTTATCTGCATTGCGTTGAGGTAACAGGCTAAATTGTTCGGTGCTGGTAGTCTTCCAATGCCTACCCTAAATCTGTGACATGAGTCCAAAAACCACCACACAGCTAACCAAGGAAAAAAAGTCATTCAGCAATTCAGCTCATGTCAGCTGCAAAGAGCTGTCTAAGATCACCTGAGAAACTCTGAAGCAAAAATAATTGCTCTCACCTTACACATGAACATTACCTCACATAGGTGTATAGTGTGGGTCACCAAAGTTAATTTGGTGGGGTATTTACTGAAGTGTTTCCCGCTGGAGATGAGGAAGTGCCAAAGCCTGTGCCTGTGGACTGGCCGTATTTCGTAGTATGAAAGAACCGGCCTTAAAGTCCACCTTTCATTTTTCTGTTCTTGTTTGAAGACAGTCCTTAAATAACACAATCCTCTACTCTTTGGATAAATATGATTTGAAGAGATGAAAGGACAATGGACTTGATCTTTATATATATATGTTGTATTACTTGGCATTATATTTCTATAATAGCTGAGATTTCACTGATGAGAAATAAATTACAACATTGGTTCATGCCAAAATATTGGAATAAGTATTTGTGTTTAAACTCTAAAAACTGCTTGAACATCTCCTGGTATTTCCACATCAGAAGGAAAACAAGAAGTAAGGACATCATTGCATCAGTGCCTTTGAACATAAGGAAAAGAGTAGTAGTATTCGGTGTTGTGCCCTCAGCTCAAAAATTCCTCCTTCCTCATCTTTCATACTTTCTTTTGAGGGTCTCAGAGTGCAGATGGGCAAGAGAGTCAGTAGACGTGAGAAATTCATTATTATTCAGCCAGGGAAAATATAACCATAATAAGAATTTTGCCACAGAAAATTGGGAGTTATGAATCCGAATCACTGGAAAATACGTACTTTGAGATGGAGAATATGTAGGCTGGGGAAGCACACACATCTCTCCTTCAGCCCTATAAACATTTCCTGAGAGAGGGAATACAGCTAAGTCTGCCTTCCTTTTTTGGCTGATAGGCCTTAGGGAAGAACCTTTGGTCTTGTGGAGTGACTTTTTTCTGAAAACATCTGATTATGGGGCATTGCTGGGAGCTAGACAGAGCCACCAAGAGGCAGTATAGAGGAATAGAGTCAGCCAGGGTGTAGTAGGTGTGTGTCGGCCTCCTGTGGATCCTCAAGACACATGCAGCCCTTTGGGAACCATCCTCTTGCTGGAACAGTGGGAATGCCTTTCCCTGGTGGAGAGATGTGGGAGGCACACAGTCTCTTTTAGGAAGGGGAGAATGAGATGATACAGCCATTGAACTTTTTAAGATAACTAAATTACACTGAAATGTGAATGACAAAAGCAGCGTGACCAATAATTTTGCTTACT